AATTAAATTATCAGAGATTTATCTTATTCTGTTACGCATTTCTGATCTTTTAACATTTTAAATATTTTCTACAATCTAAAAGATCAAATTTTTCAATAATTAAGAATTTACTTTAAAAATAAATTTTTATATATATTTTTGTTACTCACTCTAAATAATAAGTTGCAAATAAAGCTTCAAGTCTTGGATGTAATCGAGTAGTTACATCAGCAGTGCACAAAATTGTTAGAGATATTTTAGAAAATTCGAGATCTTCCTCGAGAAAACCTTCCTCTTGAAGCAATTCTCTTACTAATTCCTAAAGCCAGTTTAAGTTTATTAACTCCTTACAACTACTCAAATCCAAAAAAAATTTTTCTCTAAATTTATTATTTTTTTCAAAAGAAATTTATATTATTTAGATTTAATGATCCTGCATCAAATCGGTATAAAAGAGAAGTTTTTTTATAAAATAGAAACTTTATCTTACATATATAAAATTACTGTTATTACAGACTATTACGAGACGTCTTTCAATCAAGAGATTGAAAGATTAAAGAAGATGCTTATCTGGAATACCTGTAAATTTTTAGCTGCGAGATGCATATCTTCCAAGATAAGAAGCAATCGAGATCCGCTTTTCGGTTTATATATTCTACCTTGCGAAGAAGACTCTAAACGTAAGCAAGCCTTTTTTAAGCGAGTCACGAGATTATCAGGACCATAAAGCGAAGATCCCCGCACGACGATTGTTGTATCCTGATTTTTTATTTTTGACAATGCGACGTCAATCAAAGCATTTTTACCACAAGCTTCAAGTCCACGAATTATAATTGGATGACCGTCTTCGATCCAAGGCAAAATAGCCGATAATGCTTTCTTAATGCGATCTATAAAAAAAAAAAAAAACAAGCAAATAAGATTTATATTTCTTTTAAAATCTTGACCTTACAGTTTTAACGCATGGATTTTTAACAATACCCGAAATCGAGATTGGTCCGTTATCGGTTTCGATAGATTCGTAAGTATCACTAAAGGGTATCAGTCGATCGGTTTCATGATCGTAAAGAACCGCGCTTGGCTTTTGCGGATCGGGACACCTGAAGCATAATTTCAACGATAAAGTCAAAGTAATTGTGATCTAGTTTATTGTTTTAAAAATATGTCTTAAAGTCTTAAAAGAATTGTTTTTTTAAACAGCGTTAATCTTTCCGCTCAATCCGAAACTCACCAGCTTTCAGTCGATTCGTAAATAAACTTCGCCAATTCGTCTTTGGACTGTGCATTTTTCACCTGGCCACATAACGAGACCAAAAGGGCCTGAGTGGCCTGAGCAAATGTTTGCGCTTTTTGGAGATGACATAACGCGGCAGTTATCAGACCGGATGCGGACGAGACGTCAACGTTTATCTTGAGTGTCTCGTCGATGCACTGACATAAATGAGTATTCGCGATTTCCGCAGCGGTCGACGAGAGTTGCTCCAAACGCCATGGCACTAACAAGGACATCGGTCTCGTCGAGCCGAGATGCAGGACGCCCAATCGCGAAACCGTAGCTGGACTAGCGTCGGCGAGCTTGTGCGTCTCGAAGATGAACCTTGATTCATAAACATTCGCGTAATGCGTACAATGCCGTAGAAACAAAATCAAAAAATTTATCCGATGGAACACGTAATTTGGATCGCGGACTTTATCACTAACTAACTGGCATTCGTACCTTGTACCACTACCAAGCTTAATTCCTATTCCATTGGGCAAAGTTAGTAGCCGATTATCGTCCAGAGCTGAATTCAACGCCTCTGCCCAATCGGGCTCCACGTCTCCGTTGAAGACGATCCAGGTCGCGGAATTCCCGGCGAGCGTTACTGCGTTCGACAGAACACCCTCCTTCCATTCCCTGATGTTTACGTAATTTTTATGTCCAATTATATATTCAGGATTAAAAGAGAAATTATTCATTTGCATTTTACCTCGTCCGCGGATTCACGTGGCCTAGTAATCTGCTCTTTGGCATCGCCCCGGGATAAATGGTGATCTGCTGAACAGGCTCGCCGATCTTGGCCATCGCCTCGGCCAAACATGACCTAATTGATGTCTTTCCACTACCCGGCGGGCCAACTATCGCGACGCCGGTTCTGCCCTTCAATAGATCGTTCAACTGAACGCATCTGTTGGCGACTTCCTTTGTCAAGCCTCGCGTTTCGCAGATTTTTAACAATACGACAACGAGGTCCTCGCTTTCGGTAGAAACTGACAAGGGAACATTGGCCTTTGGGAAGAGGTCGTCCAGCAATGATAGGAATTTCGTCGTATCTGCCTCCGTTAATTTCGGAAGGGTCGATGCTCTGATTGAGACGAGAAGTCTGCCAGAAAATAAAATGTTTTTTTATTCATAATGCTAAATTTTAGAAATTTTTAACGCAAATTTCTCAAATTTTATTAAAAATATTCATATATATTTTTCGAAAGTATATGTGATAAAAATAAAATTATTTCTTAACGTTAGAATACAGAAATTTATGTCAAAAAAATGAACTGTTTTCTTATCAATGAACAACTCGTACATGTTAATGTAATAAAAATGGGACAAGAAAATAGATAAGATATTAAAATTAGATAAGATATTTCTAAAGTGAAAATACAAGGTAAAACATTTAACATATAATTTCTTTTTTATCGATTAATTATATTATCTTTTTAATCTAAAGCTTTTCAAGGATAGAAGATTCTCTTATCGCTAAAAAGACTTATCGTATAACCTCACGAATTTCCGTATGTTAAACACAACTTGAGATATCTGATGTAGATATTTCAGTACTTAATCTTTTTATGATGACAATCTTTTATGATGAAAAGATTCATGTATTAAAATGCCATTTATTACATTTGAAAAATCTTAAACGCTAAAATGTCAGACTAAATGTCAACGTATTCGCATTATTAATCAATGTGTCTCAAAAAGATGTTAAAAATGTACATTGATAATACATTAATATTAGAGATAAATATAAATTTTCAATATTAATATCGGAAACGGGTAAATTAAAGGAATCAATCGAGCTCGAAATTTTAACATTTTAATTATTTAAATTTCCAATCTTCTACTAATACCCAATTAATTCCTAACCCTTCTTTATTTTCTACATTATGTAAAATGATAAAAATTCCTTTTTCGGTCTTACACATTTCGTACCTAGTAGTCTCGTCAACGCCAGCAACTGGATGCAGCACATCAAGTATAGATTTAAGCGCTCTGAGTCCCCAATCGTAATGCGGTTGCTCGGAGAGCATAGTCTCCGCAATTTCGAGTGCCTCGACGAGCCGTTTACCGAGGGTGATGGCTTCTAAGAAACCGGCACACTCCAGCAGAGTCCTGACGATATCTGATTTATCTGGATGCGCCATGCTGATAGGCCTGAAAAGTCGCGCCAAGGAATCCGGCAGCTTGCGCCTACCGCCGTACTCGCTACCGGCTGGATTCATCGTGATGAAGATGCAACAGTGAGGATCCAGCTTGATCTTCTGATCGCCCAGCAAGATCTCGGGTGAACCATTCCGTAACGCCTCTTGAAGCGGCCTCACCAACATCGATACCGCGCTCAGGGTGTCCTCCTCAAGGCGATTGAATTCGTCGAAGCAACCCCAAGTACCGGCCTGCGCCAATCCACCTAAGATACGCTTCATACTGCCGGTGTCCATTCCTATATTTTGCATCCCATGTTTTAACTTTACGTCCCAATAATAAATCTTTTTGTGTAATATATTTTTTTAATTATAACGCTTAAACATGATAATTTTTTATCATGATGTTTATGGAAAAAAATGACCTTTACCTTCGTCACAATTAAAGACGAGGACTAGTCTACCCAAAATGGCCGCTAGCGCTTTGACGCTTTCAGTTTTTCCGGTTCCAGCAGGACCGGTCGGGCTTCCGCCCAATCCAAGTTTCATAGCTTGCGTGAGAGCTAAGAAGCACTTCTCCGTCAAGGGAGTTCTCACTAAGCCAATGGAGGCTCCTTGATACTCGAAACGATACGGTAATTCTGCACCGGCGCATCGTATTACGTACGTGCCTTGATTCTTTAAAATAAAAATCACATAGTACAATAATATGCAATATAATCGACAAAATTACGTAAATTCTTTTTACATAAAATATTTGGATAAAATATTTATATTCTGGAACCTTTATTTTTTAAATATAAAGTTTATTTAATTCTTAATTATTAAGAATAGATTAGTAAAATAAATCTTTTATGACCAAAACTTACGGTTTTGTAACTCCTCAGTTGTTTGTACCACGTCCAACCGGCATTCTCGCCCGTTACCACAATCTTCAATAGAGTTCGGGCCACTTGAAGATGATGAACAGTATCTAAGAGAAGACCGCGTGCCTTCAGCGCGGTCAATTTGTCACCGGCGTCCTCTAACCCTCTGTACTTCGCCCTCTGCGTTTCCAAAAATTCAACGAGCTTCTGTAGAGCCCCGCGACCCTCCTTCAAAGCACGTTCGCAGCGCTCGGTAAATGCTATTCTTTCCGACAGTAGTAATATCTGCGTGGGATAAACAGATGGATCGGGTGTCGAGTCGTTCAAACATTTCTCCAAACTCTGCCGAAGAGAATTTCTCATTCCCTTTTCGAGATTATCTAGCCATCGCGGTAGAGATTCTGTGAGGTCGATAGCCTCTGGTAACTTCAATATCTCTCCTTCGGGCGATGTAATCGCGGTTAAAGTGTTACTTTCCTTTATTATCGAACCAATACCGTGATACAATTTCGGCAAATGAGCCTCCAAAGCTTTCCCACTGCCCGATACCAGTTCTAGAAGATCCTCATCGCTAAGAAAGTATAATCGCGGGTAAGCCGCTCGTTTCTCCTACAATTAAAGTATTTTTCATTATATTATCTGACAAGAATACAAAACACAATTTCTGCTAAAAAAATACAGATTTTTTAATTATCGAGTTTTACCTCTAAAAATTCGTCTAGGCTTTTCTGGCATCTGTCTAACAGATCTTTCAAATTTGTTAAGGCTGGCAATGAAAGTCTTCTCAAGGACGGTACTCTGGGATCTCGGGATACTTCTCCCATGAGATGCCTAAAATTTTGCAGAAGCGTAAATTAATGTTTAACTATACCATAAATAAAAAAGAGTTGAAATTGTGTAAGTAAATTAAATTGCATTGACATAATCGTACAGACCTAAATTCTTTGTCAGCTCTAGACCATCTTCCGGAATCACTGGGAGCTGCACCACTTCCGTAAACCGGATCCAAATAAATCCATTTTCTTTGTACAGTGCTGAGTGCCTTGATCCTTTCCTCGAGTTCCAATAAGGCTGCTTCGCAACGCGCAACTCTGGATGCAAATCTGTCGTGTCCTGACGTACCTTTCGCTCCCTCGAGCAAAAGCTTCAATTCCTCTGTTTATTAACAATTCAAAATTCGAATTAAAATGAATATATTACAAACTCAATAAAAATAAAATAATCAAATTATGATAAGTAGAAACACACCTATTTTCGCCAACAGACTGCCATAGTCTCCGACGAGTAAGATTGGCATATTCCTACTATCGATTGACTCTTGCAATAGAAGTGCCGCCGTACTTTCCCAAATTTCTAGATCTATTAAAGCCTGTCGAATCCCACTTTCTGCGACTGCTCGTTTCGTTATCTCCTGACAATGGAGAAAACGCATGTTATATTTAAAGAAATATTTAAACTATATATCCAATTCCTATTGTTATTATTAATTTTTCAAGAAATATATTCTATTCTATACCTATTTTTTATAAAAAATTAAACAAATACTGAAATATCGAAATATCGCTTTTTTGATCACACTAATCTTAAAATTGTATGTTCCTACTTTTATTCGATCCTCGTTCTCTTTCAATGTCTTTGTACAGGCAAGCAAATGACCCAAAGTGAGATCTCGTGGATTTTCAATCTTCAAGCCGAGTATAGGAATTAACTCAGTCCAGTGCTCATCAGCGATCTCGTCTCCTCGAAGCGGTTGGATAGATTCGATCGCAGATCTCACTTCGTTTATCTTTCTTCCTACGAAAGTATCAACTTCCAGATTATCATGCAAGCGAATCTTACTCTCCCAGGAATCGAGCCAATCATGAAGTCTCGGCAATCTTCTCCTAGCTACGGCCCACTCTTCGATTTCCTGATTTTTCAGTTCCTCTAAAAACTCGGATTGGAACCTGCAATGTGTTAAACGTAATTTCTTAACTTGTTTTTTGTTGAAATTATTTTGATAACATTTTTTTTATTAATATAAAAATTTAAAGAATTAATGAAACAAATAAATTTTAATTTTTTTCGAGAAAGATCTTTCATTAAGGAAACCTGTAGTTTGATTCTTCGGTTTCCAATTCACGTTCTAATTGTGAAAGATCAATGTCTCCGTCCTCCAGGATACTTTCGAGATCCAGAGAAATTCTCTTGCAATCCGCTTTCAAAGAATCCATCTGCCCATTAAGATTGAGCCAACGTTCCTTCATAGACACCAGCCAATCGAGCGTGAGGTTCTCCGATCTCGTAGACCACTTAGTCTGCCATCTTTCTTTTTCATCCCTTAAGGCTAACGCCCTATGACGAAGATTAACTTTAGCATCTTCCAATAAACGTGCCATAACGGCTTTGTGTTTTTCCAAACGATCGCCCAAATCCTGCCAAGCGGCGTGAGCCGCATTAACACCTGCAGAAAAAAAAAACGAATAAAACGAAAATTCAATTAAATCTCAGATACTTAGTTTACTCGTATTTATTTGCAATGAAGATCTGCAATGAAAAATTGATTCTCCAGAGGAAGTTACATAAAAATTTTATTTGACAAGAACATTACCGTCGAGCTTCTCACTGGTCCAGGCGGCCATAACTTTGGCGAGCACGGTAACTATTTCCATCTCTTCAGCGATGCCAGCCGATTGTTGCTCGATACGTGCATGAGCTTCATAAGCTAATCCGATCTCTTCCACATCTCGCGGCCTACGTTCAAGCTCCTTGGATGCGAAAGATAAAAAGTCCACGATGGCTACCAGTCGTGAGGACGCTTCCGCTCTTAAATCGGAACATAGCCGTTCCCAATAATGACGAGACGCGGTCTCCAAATCGTTTCTCGTTGTCGCCGTGTCAACGCATATACACGAGATTTTTACATCGCAACCGCGTAATTTACCAACCTGCATCGACGAAATTCAGTATAATTAATTGGTTAGACAAATGTCGTAAAACGTAACAAAACAAATCGGAAAGTAAACTACATTTGTAAATAAAAAATAATTTAAAATAATTAAAAATTTATAAGCAAATTTTAAAAATCTTTTTTAGACGTCGTTGTAGTCGTTGTATTCTTCAAAAGTGTGACATATTTTTTGATTTATAAAATTCT